CAGGACGCGGTGCCGATGACGCTCGGGCAGGAGTTCAACGCGTTCGCGCGGAGCATCGAGGACGAGATCGAGGCGCTCGAGGCGGTGGAATCGAAGCGGCTGCACGAGTGCAACATGGGGGGGACGGCGATCGGGACGGGCTTGAACGCGCCGGCGGGGTACGCCGAGGCGTGCGCGTCGCACCTCGCGGCGATCTCCGGGATGCCGATCACGTCCGCGCCGGACCTCGTGGAGGCGACGCAGGACACGCAGGCGTTCGTGCTCTATTCCTCGGCGATGAAGAGCCTGGCGATCAAGCTGTCGAAGATCTGCAACGATCTGCGGCTGCTCTCGTCCGGGCCGCGTGCGGGGTTCAATGAGATCAACCTGCCGGCGAAGCAGCCGGGCTCGTCGATCATGCCGGGCAAGGTGAACCCTGTGATCCCGGAGGTGATGAACCAGGTGTGCTTCCGGGTGATCGGGAACGACGTCGTCGTCACGATGGCGGCGGAGGCGGGGCAGTTGCAGCTCAACGTGATGGAGCCGGTGATCGCCCACGCGATCCTGGAGTCGCAGACGATGCTGGGCAACGCCTCGCGGACGCTCGAGGAGAACTGCGTCGTCGGCATCACCGCCAACGAGGGTGTGTGCAGGGAGTTCGTGGAGCGCAGCATCGGCGTTGTCACGGCGCTGAACCCGGTGCTGGGGTACAAGAAATCGACGGCGATCGCCGCGAAGGCGCTGGAAACCGGGAAGGGCGTCGTCGAGCTTGTCCGCGAGGAGGGGCTCCTGAGCGAGGAGCAGATCGCGGAGCACCTGGACCCGGCGCGGATGGCGAACCTCCGCACCGTCTGATTCATCCAACTAGTCCGTCCGTCTGGAGACACGCATGTTCTGGGTCGAATTCGCGGTTGTTCTCGCCTGCATTTTCATCGGCGCCCGCCTTGGCGGGATCGCGCTGGGCACGATCGCGGGGCTCGGTCTCGCGCTGCTCGTGTTCGGGTTTCGCCAGCAGACCGGGGCGATGCCCGTGGACGTCATCCTGATCATCGTCGCGGTAGTGACGGCGGCGTCGGCGCTGCAGGCGGCGGGGGGGCTCGACTGGATGGTGCAGGTGGCGGAGCGGATCCTGCGCGCGAGACCGGGGGCGATCACGTTCGTTGCGCCTGCGGTGTCGTGGCTCTTCACGCTCTTCGCGGGGACGGGGCACGTGGCGTACGCGCTGCTCCCGGTGATCGCGGAGACCTCGCGCAAGGCGGGCGTCCGACCGGAGCGGCCGATGTCGATCTCGGTCATCGCGTCGCAGCAGTCGATCACGGCGAGCCCGATCTCCGCGGCGACGGCGGGCATGATCGCGCTGTTCGCGGTGAACGGGGTGGACCTGGGGCTCGTGGACATCCTGATGGTGTGCGTGCCGTCGACGTTCCTCGGGTCGATGATCGGCTCGCTCGCGGTGGCGCGAATAGGGAAGAAGCTCGAGGACGACCCGATTTATCAAGACCGGCTCGCGAAGGGTCTGATCGACGAGACATCGTCCGCGGAAGCGGGCGGCCAATCGACGCCGAAGGGGGCGAAGCTGTCCGTCGGGATCTTCCTGGCGGCGGCGATCGGCGTGGTGTTCCTGGGCGTGTTCGCGGAATCACGCCCGGTGACGGGGTGGACGGCGTCCACGTCGACGCATTCCGTACGGCTCGTGAACGACGACCCGTACGCGTTCACGGTCGATCTGGAGACGGAGGCGATCACGTGGGAGGTGGTGGACGCGAACCTGTCGAACAAGAAGGGGTGGATCGACGTCGACGGGCTCGACGAGGGGACCGGGGTGCTCATGTTCAAGGCCGAAGAGGACGCCGAGCGGCTCTTCTCGGGGAACACCGAGGGCCTCGCGGAGCGGCTGGCATCGGGCGAGCTCGAGGTGCGGACGCCGAAGGCGTCGCGCGTGGGGATGGCGCCGACGATCGAGATCGTGATGCTCGCGGCGGCGGGGCTGATCATGCTCCTGTGCCGGGCGCCGTCGAAGGACATTGTGACGAGCTCTGTTGCGCGTGCGGGCGTGGTGGCGGTGGTGTCGATCATGGGCATCGCATGGCTCGGGAGCACGTTCTTCCAGAACAACAGCGACACGGTGGTGGGGGCGCTCTCGGACACCGTGCAAAGCATGCCGTGGACGTTCTCGATCGCGCTGTTCGCGCTGTCGATCCTGCTCTACAGCCAGGCGGCGACGGTCGCGGCGCTGATGGGCGTGGGGCTGCAGCTCGGGATCGAGCCGAGGTACCTCATCGCGATGTTCCCGGCGGTGAACGGGTACTTCTTCCTGCCGACGTACGCGACGATTCTCGCGGCGATCCAGTTCGACCAGACGGGCACGACGCGGATCGGGAAGTACGTGCTCAACCACAGCTTCATGGTCCCGGGCATTGTCGCAACCGCCTCCTCCGTGGCGATCGGGTTCGCTCTCGCTACGGTTCTCCTTTGATTGAGCGGAGTCTCACAGATGCACCGATTGTTTCAGATGTTCGTGATCCTGCTGGCGACGGGTTCCGTCGCGGCGGCCCATGAGGCGGCGCCGCTGACGGGGGACGAGGTGCGGTCGATCGTCTCCGAGATGGTGGCGGATGCCGGGACGCGGTCGAGCCTGCAATCGTCGGGCGGGAGCGCGGGGCACGACGGAAAGTTCTTCATCGTGGACGAGAGCGGGGATTTCCGGCTGACGGTCTCTGGCCTGCTCCAGTTCCGGTACACGTACAACGAGCGGAAGGACGCGTCGGACGACACTGAAGGGTTCAACGTGACGCGCGCCCGCCTGTGGCTCGCCGGTCGCGTGCACAAGAACATCAGCTTCTACGTGCGCGGGCAGTTCTCCGGCACGACGAAGATCCCGGGCTTTTCGGAGCGGTCCATCAACGGGCAGCTCGAGCTCGACCGCGCGTGGGTCGGGTTCAAGCTGAGCGAGCACGTGTCGCTCCGCATCGGGCAGCAGGTCTCGCCGTTCACGCGTGAGAACGAGCACTCGCCGCACGATCAGCTCGTGATCTCGGCGTCGCCGAACGACTCGGTGTTCGGCCAGGGCGGGTTCACCGGGGCGCAGTTCCTGGCGCAGGGCGAAGACGCGCGGGCGTGGTTCATCGTGAGCAACGGCGCCCGCGCCGTGCGGACCACCTTCGACGACCCGCGGAACGCCGACTACGCGCTGACGTTCAAGGCGGACTACAAGTTCACCGGGGAGTGGAAGCAGTACTCGCAGTTCAGCTCGCCGCGGGGCTCGGAGTTCGGGGCGATGCTCGGCGCCGGCGTGCACTACGAGGAGGGGGCGGCGATCGGCAACCCGCTCGAGGACGTCGACCTGTTCCAGGCCGTGGTCGAGCTGAGCTTCGTGGGCGACGGGTGGAACGTGTACACCAACGTGCAGTACGCCCACAACGACGTTCGGAGCAACGATTTCGAGGACGACTGGGGCTTCCTCGTCCACGGCGGCGTGTTCGTCTCGTCCCGGGTCGAGTTGTACGGCCGGTTCGACGTGATCTTCCCCGACGAGGACCGCGCGGCGGAGAACGACGACTTCCGGACGATCACGAGCGGGTTCAACTTTTATCCGGTGGAGGGGTCGTACGCGATCAAGTTCAGCGCGGACGTGACGTACTTCCTCGATCCCGAGGCGACGAGCATCGTTGGGCCGAGCAACAACCTGAGCCTGCTGGCGAGCAACCGTGGGGACCAGTTCGCGATCCGGGTGCAGGCTTCGATGGTGTTCTGAGTCGGGTTCGCGGTTCTCGCGCCACGCTCCCCTTGTACGGACTCAGAAGCGTGCTCAGGCTTTCCCGGACACGCGGTCCCAGAATTCGGCGCGGTCGTTGGAGCGCGGGAACGGGCCCGACGGTGTGTCGGCGCCGAGGAACGCGCAGAGCGGCTCCCACCCTTCGCGGACCTCGTAGACGAGGAGCTGGTCGCTCGGGATGGTCTCCCGCACCGCGTCGTTGTGTGCCTTGAAGGCGGTGATGAGGCCGTCGCGGTCCAAGTCGGCGGGGAAGCCGGTCCGCGTGATCACGCCCGAGGCCATCTCGAGCCAGGATTGCATTTCAGGTGGGGCCTCATCGACTTTGGAGAGCAGGGCGTGGATCGTTGAGCCGAAGCTGTCCGCCCAGTTCTCGGGGTTTCGATGCGTCAGGACGTATTTGGCATCGGGGTAGGCCCTGTACAGCTCGCGGAAGAACCCGGCGGTGGGCCAGTCGACGGCGCTCGCGTACCCGTCGTAGATCGCCTGCCACTCGAAACGCCCGTTCACGGCCGCGGACCAGAGGGGGACCTGCGTCGGCATGTTGAGGAGGACTTCCTCCATGTGGTGGCACGGCCCGAAGCCGAGCTGCTCGATCGCGAGTTTGAGGGAGTAGGTGCCGGTGCGGCCGACTCCGGCGCCGATGATGTGCATGGTCATGTGGGTCATCCCTTCCTGGAGCCGATCGCGTGGACCGGTACGCGGTGTCCTAGGGCGCTCGGACGTCCTTACGGGGCGTTACTCTACAAATCGGCGTTCGGAGATGCTCAGGATGGCCGCACCTTCTTTGTGGCCGAGGTGCCAGAATTTGGGCTTCCGCCGCGCATTTTCATCGAGATAGAAGCCGACGTACCTGCGATATTGCTTTGACAGCCGATTCCAACTGGCCTTGATATTCGTGGGCCCTTGAGGTGTCATGCCACGTAGGCGGGTGTACCCATACTCGCAACAGGTATCAAAATGCCAGAGTCGATGTCGAACGAATGCTCGTAACAGGTGCGGCTGTGCCTCCTGCGGAGGAAGTCTACGACGAGGTAGAATGACGACCTGCATAGGAGAACACCCATGCCCAATACTAAGAGACTCGCAGAATTCCAAGCCGCCATGTTTGAGATTTACGAGAAGGCCAGGGAGCATGGCTACAGGCCGACTGACTACAAGGTGATGCTCGATAAAGAAGGGCCAATGGAAACGGCTCGTCGCTGCGTACTGAAACCGGATGGCCTGCCTTCTGGCGTGTTCAAATTGATGGAACTCGGCATACCCGAGATCAGCGTCGAGGCGGTCGTCGATGAGTACGCCGATCTGTTTCCTGACATTCCAGAGCTAATCGCTGCGGCGAGGGAACGGCTGAGTTGGATGAAGCAGCCCGAGGTTCAGGCGAAAGCGAAAGAGCTTCGCAAGGGGATGCAGTCCCCTTCGAGTCGATGAAAGACAGTGAGCCAGAGGGCTACTACTAGGTGTCAAGTCTTCTTGCCGTACTTGGCTGCGTTGTCCTCGCAGTGCTGTCGCACAACATCGACCCATGACTCATACCAGTACCAAGAGCGCTCGACTTCGACGCCGAAGCCTTTGCCTTCGGCCTTGGCCTTCTTGCCTTGCCAGATCAACGTATGATGATGCATGCTGAACTTCTTGAAACCCTCCGCTTTCATCATCTTGACTATCTTGCTGGGGCGGTACTTTGGACGCTCTGTCTCTTTAATGAGCGCATAGGTCTTGTTGACATCTGTCGCCAAGTCTGTGTTGGCTTTTACAAACTCGATGACCTCATCGGCTTGCCCCTTTCTGTTCGCTGTCTTGGGAACGAACAGGACTCGGTATGCAAACCGGGGGCTGTTGAACTCGGCTTCTGACAGACCGTCTTCGAACGAACTGATGAACGCCTCGATGTACGTCGGCATCTTGCTGGGGCTCGGTAGCTGATTCGCCTGCCCGGGGCTAATGGACGAGAATTGAAGACTGAAGGCGAGATACTTGTCGATGCCACTGGCATCACCAAACAGACTCTTGGCATACTCGTTGTAATTGAGGCAGCACGCCTGAAACTTGGCGCTCAGACTCGAATCCAGTCGTCCAGTCATCTGATGCTCAATTTCGTGGCGAATGCCAATTAGGAATCGGAGATTGTTGGCTGCATCCTTGTCTATTGGTGAGCGTCTGTCGTTCAAACAGCGTTCCAACTCCCAGTGTTTGAAGGCACCGCTCTTGGTTTTGCCGAACCGCCGCCGTTGGCCTTGCTGGGTGAAATAGCGGTACTCGACTCCCTCTCGGCGGTAGTAGGCGTGCAGCAGGTACGTCCAAGCGATATTCATCAGCACGATGAATATCTCGGATTTGAACGTGATCATAGGGCTGTTAAAAATCTGAACGGCGGCGAGTGCGGCCTCTCGGGACTTGTGCAGCAGTTCCTTTTGGACTGAGTAGGTGCGCCTAACTCGCTTCTTCTTAGCCATCAGCGAGCATCCTCTTATGCGGGGACAGATACTGCAAGGAACACAGCGTCGTGCCCAAAAGCCTTGGCGGTGACATAGCGAGCCAATAGCTTCCCCGCTGCCGCAGTTTGCCAACCAGTCTCTTGGAATCCAATAGGGCCGACTGAAGGCATTCGGTACATGAATCTGTCCATGGAAAGGCGGTCGTAGATGGTACGGCTGGATGCGAGCAGGAAGAGGTGGGCAGAACCCCTTTGCACACGCTTGATGTCCTTCTCAATGCCTTCGCTAGTAGCTGCGCCCTGCGAGCCGTAACTGAATCGTGTCTTTAGTTCTACAAACAATGCGCTGTTTGTAGGGCCGTCGCAGACCCGAAGGTCTGGAATCCCGCCTGACATAGTAGGAAGATTAGCGTTGATGGCAGAGAGAGAGCGACCATTGAGCCGAAGCTCGAATCCCATGCCGCTAAGTCCCGGCTTGCTTTCGATTATGCTCAACCCTGCTTGAAGAAGCGCAGCTGCAACGACGACTCTGGAGTGCCCCTCAGTTAGCAGACTTAGAGGGTTGTTCTTGTAGTCAGCAACGAGGGCATCCATGCCAATCTCGGCAACCCTCTTGATTCGGGGGCAGGGCTCCAAGCCACACTCCTGTCAGTTCCGGTATCCAACCGGTAGCGGGCCGCTCATACCGAATGCTGCGCTCTGCTCCTTCGGTACCTCAACCTACAAAAAAAGCCCCTGGCTGTTCACCAGAGGCCCTTAGGCTAAACGAGGCGGACGGGACTCGAACCCGCAACCACCGGATCGACAGTCCGGGACTCTAACCAATTGAGCTACCGCCCCAGAGGGGGATCTGCCACGGGTGTGGGCAGGGAGGGAATCGTACTCGTCTGGGCGCTCGTGTCAAGTGGATGTGCGGTGGTGTGGATCGATGGGCCGATGCTTGGGTATCGTGGGGTTTCCCGGGTCGGGCCCGTGGCGGAATTGGCGAGACGCGGCGGATTTAAAATCCGCTTGGGGGCAACCCCAGTGAGGGTTCGAGTCCCTCCGGGCCTATTGGGATCGGGCGGCGTGGCGCGAGGAGGTCCGAGAAGATGAGCGGAGTCGAGGGAGGCGTGCGCCGGTGCGCGTGGGCGACGGCGAAGGGGACGGGCCCGCTCGACGTGGCGTACCACGACGAGGAGTGGGGCGTCCCGTGCCACGACGATCGGGTCCTCTTCGAGTTCCTGATCCTGGAGGGGGCGCAGGCGGGCTTGAGCTGGTCCACGATCCTGAAGAAGCGCGAAGGGTACCGGCGGGCGTTCGCGGGGTTCGACCCGGAGAAGGTCGCGCGGTTCGGGGAGAAGGAGATCGCCCGGCTGCTCGAGGATCCAGGGATCGTGCGCAACCGGCTCAAGGTGCGATCGGCGGTGACCAACGCGCAGCGGTTCCTGGAGGTTGCTGAGCGGGTGGGGAGCTTCGACGCGTACGTCTGGGGGTTCGTCGACGGGTCGCCGATCATCAACCGCTGGCGCACGCACGGTGAAATCCCGGCGACCACCGTCGGGTCCGACCGGATGAGCAAGGCGCTCAAGAAGGAGGGCTTCAAGTTCGTGGGGTCGACGATTTGCTACGCGTACATGCAGGCCACGGGGATGGTGAACGACCACACGACGGATTGCTTCCGTCACGAGGCGTGCGCCGGGCTCTCGTAGCGTTCGGTGCTCTTGTGGTCAGGGCGTTTCGGGCGCCTGGTGGAACGAGCGGACCTCGAAATCGCCGGCCTTGAAGGTGCCGTCGCCCTGATCGAGCACGAGGATCTCGCCGTCGATGAGCAGGCGGATGGAGCCGTCCAGCGTGGTGTACGAGATGCCGTGGACCTCGGTGTTGACGAGGTCGGGCTCGGTGATGAGGACGTCGCCCATGTCCGCGGCGATCAGGAACGAGTTGACGAATCGGTTCTCGTCCGGGTCTCCGGTGCAGGTGAAGCTCCGCAGGTTCGCGTTGCCGAAGACGTCGGAGGGCAGGGGCGGGAAGCCCTCGGCCTCGAGGCCCTGGGCGCCGATGTAGAGCCCGGAATTGATGAAGGCGCTGGTGAAGACGTCGCCGATCGCGCCGCGGGTGCGGATGAAGAAATCGTCCATGACGCCGTCGACGATGAGCCTGTCGAGGACGACGACGGAGCTCGAGGTGTCGAGGAGTATCTGGTTGATCTGGAGGGTGACGCCGACCGCGTCGCCCTCGATCTCGATGCGCCCCGCGGAGAAGAGGTTCATGTCCTGGGTGAGGGAGCCGCCGTTGCCGAGCTTCATGGAGCCGAGGCGGCGGATGAGTGATCCGGTGTCGAGGTCGCCCCGGATGTTGCGGTTGCGGTCGCCGGTGACGTCGTACTGGCGGAGGTCGTCGACTTCGAGGAAGCCGCCGTCCCAGTCGATGATGCGGATGCGGTCGGTGTCGCCCTCGATCTCGAGGTCGACGTTGGTCATGCGACCGGCGGTCCAGCTTCCGAGGTCGCCGTCGACGAAGTAGTTGACGTTCTCGACGTCGCCGCCGACTTTGACGGACCTGGAGCCGCCCATGATGGTGATGTCGCAGTCCGCGAGCCTGCCCGCGACGTCGAAGGTGGTGAGGGGGTAGCGGGCGTCGCCCGGGTTGTTGAGGGTGATGTCCATGGAGAAGTCGCCGTCGAGGTCGGCGGCGCGGTTGCCCCGGACCTTGACCGCGCCCATAACGTCTGCGGTGAGTGATCCGGCGCGGACCTGCGAGGTTCGGATGGTGCCCATCTCGCCGTCGACGTCGATGTCGACGCGTCGGAGCTCGCGGGCGCTGAGCCCGCGGGCGAAATCGCCGGTGACGGTGATGGAGGTGTCGACGATGTCGCGCCGGGCGTCGATCCTGCCGATGTTGCGGTCGAAGTTCATGGTGGAATCGGAGAGGTCGCCGGCGACCTTCAGCTGGCGGAGGGCGACGGCGAGCCCGTCGCCGCCGGTGGTGACGATGTCGGCCTCGAAGTCGCCCCGTCGGTCGCGGTCGCCGGACGTCTGGATGTTCAGGACGCTCGAGCAGACGATCTCGCTCGGGGCGATGGTGCTGGTGGAGAGGAGTTCGGTGAGGCGGAGTTGTCGGAGGATTTGCGGGGTGTCGATGCGGAGGTTCTCCGCGCGCTCGGCGCGGACGGAGAGCATCTCGTTGGCGTCGGTCATGCCGAAGAGCATGGTGCAGTCGGTGATGTCGCCCCGGACGCGGACGTCGGCGCAGCCGTCGGGGATGACCATGTCGCCGACGACGTCGCCCCGGATGTCGACGCGCCCGACGGAGCCGGTCTGGAGGAGGATGGCGATGCTGTCGCCGCCGGAGCCGTCGCCGTCGATGTCGGTCGGGAGGATGGTGCCGTCGGGGAGCGTGACGCCGTTGATGTTGGCGCCTGCGATGCCGGCGTTGAGACGGATGCTGTCGACGCCGACGTTGGAGTGGATGAACGCGATCTCCCGGGCGTTGCGCCGGCGGTCGGTGATGGAGCGGACGGGGCTGCCGCTCTCGATGGAGATGGCGACGTCCGCGTCGTCGGGGAGGTTGTCGGTGATGGTGACGGAGTCGACGTCGTCGCCGCGTGAGGAGAAGCGGACGTCGATCGCGCCGTCGGGGAGCGGGTCGCCCTGGACGTCGAAGAACATGACGCTGGCGTCGCCGCCGCCGTCCATGACGACGGCGTTGTCCATGTTGAAGGTGATGACGGGGTCGCTCGCGATGTCCATGAGGATGGAGACGCGTTCGATGATGACGAGGTCCTCGACGGCGAGTCCGCCGCGGTCGTTGAAGGCGTCCTCGTCGAGGACCGGGACCTCGGTGAAGGCGAAGTTGGCGGCGGGGTCGCTCACGGTGTCGAGGGCGGCGATGTTGTCGATGGAGTTGAGGCCGGCGGTGTCGACGATCTCGCCGAAGACGGTGAAGCCGCCGTTCTGGTTGTCGAGGTTCTCCGAGTTGTCGCCCAGGTTGAAGAACCACTGGTTGGTCGCGGAGTTGGGGTCGCTGCCGAGCTTGGCCATGGCGATGGTGCCGCGGAGGTTTGAGATGCCCGGCTCGTTGAGGATGGCGTCGCGCTGGTCGATCTCGTCGAAGCCGTCGACGGCCATGTACCCGCCGCCCTGGATGACGAAGTCCGCGACGGAGCGGTGGAAGAATGTGTTGTCCCAGTCGCCGGCGTCGGCGTAGTCGCGGAAGTTGGCGACGGTGATGGGCGTCTCGTTGGGGAAGAGCTCGACGTCGATGTTCCGGAATGTTTCGGTTCGGAAGCGGGCGATGGGTCTCGAGGGGGGACGCGTGAAGAACTCGAGGTCGCCGCCCTCGTCGCCGTCGCCGGTGTCGACGCCGACGCCGTTGAACTCGCCGTCGATCCGCATCCCGTTCGTGCCGCGGACGGCGTCGTTGATCAGCACGCGGTACTGGACGTCGAGGTCGACGGCGGCGGAGATCTCGATGGTGTTCGACTCGGTGACGTAGTTGATGGACGAGGCCACGACGAGGTCGTCTGCGGTCCGGAAGTTGCCGTCGGGCCCCGGGCGGAGCACCTGGACGGTCGCCGGCGTGATGGTGGACTCGTTCAGCTCGCAATCGGCGCGGAGGGTGATGAAGCCGCGGTTGTCGGCTGCGATTTCGATGAACGTCGGGGCGCCGTCTTCGGCGTTGGCGACGCTCGCGGTGGCGAGGGTGGACAGGGCGATGAGCCCGAGCGCGTTCTCCGTACGAATTCCAAACATGTCTGAATCTTTCTCCCGCGGACGCGCGTCCCGATGTGCTCAAACCTGCGCGTGCGACGCGATGCTGGTCGTTCTGCCTGCTCTCCCGCCCGCTTGCTCGCGGGCGGCTCTCTGAAATCGATACTCACTGTACCACGCGGTTGGACGGCTCCGTCGCGGCTGGGTTCTCTCGAAGGACGTCGGCCACCGCCTGTGGCGGCTTCAGAAGAGCCCGTCCTTCAACGGTATCGGCGATTACCGGGCCCGAATCTTCCGATTTCGGGGCTCGGCGACGCCGTAGATGTCCAGCCCGGCGTCGTTCTCGCCGGTCGAGAACGTGACGAGGGCATGGAAGGGCCCTGAGGCGGATTGAGCGACGGAGATCTCGAGATCGCACGCCGCGCCTCCGCCGCCCTGAGGCGGCTTCCTGAGGGCCAATACGCGGACGCTGACGTCGGGGTTCGAGGAGACCACGGAAATCGAGTCCGCCGGTCCCGGCTCGACGCCGGCGATTTCGACGAGGATCTTCTTCTTCGTGCCGGCGGCGATGGGAAAGAGCGTCTCGCGATCGGCGACGATGCGGAGCGGGCGGGCGTCGCGCCACTCGCGCCAGAGGTTGTCGATGCTGACGCGGACGGGGATATAGCGGGCGTCGGGGTGGTCGGTCTCGATCGTGAAGAAGCGGGGGAGGTCCGTTGCGGGGGTGTTCCCGAGGTCGTAGCGGATGGCGTGGGCTCGCGAGGGCTGCGAGGGGTCTCGTCCCTCGATGGCGGGGACGGGGGTTTCGCCGTTCGCGCCGAGGACGCGGAAGGCGCGGGCGTCGACGCTGGTGAGCGTGAGCACGCCCTCGCGGTTCAGGAGTTCGGGCACGCCGCCCTTGTTGACGACGACGGGCCATTCGAGATCGGCGTAGACGGGGAGCCTGAGCGGGGCGTTGTAGCCCTCCGCGAAGACGTAGAGCTCGCGGGTGAGACGCCCCATTTTCTTGGGCGTGTCGACGGCGAGGGTGATCTCGACGCTGCCGCTGGCGGGGATGTCGGGGTCGGTGACGACCACGCCGATGCAGGGGCAGTTGCCCTGCACGCGGGTGAGCTTGAGCGGGGCGCTGGAGGTGTTGATGATCCTGACGTTGACGATCGCGCTGTCGCCGGGGGCGTGGCGTCCCAGCTCGATGGCGTCGTTCTTGACGCGGAGCGGGGGGACTTTCACCGTCTGCGCGGGCGCGGCGAAGCAGAGCGCGGAGACGAGCAGGAACGCGAGAAACCGGATCGTGAGCGTCATCAGAAAAAAACCTCCGTGCAGAGTGTATGCACGGAGGCTCATCGGGCTGCGAAAAGGTGTTCCTGAAGCTCAGGAGCCGGAGAAGAACTCTTTGATCTTGTGGACCGTGACGGAGCGTCCCATGGCGCCGATGGACTCGGTGAGCGGGATCTCCTTGGGGCAGACGCGGACGCAGTTCTGGGCGTTGCCGCAATCCGAGACGCCGCCCTTCTGCGAGAGGACGTCCAGCCGCTTCTTCTCGAGCTCCTTGCCGGTGCCGTGGAGGTTGAAGTAGCGGGCCTGCGATATGACGGCGGCGCCGACGAAGGAGCCTTCCCATTTGTCCTCGTCGTCCTCGAGGGTGTACTGGGGGCAGGCCTCGAGGCAGCAGCCGCAGGACATGCACTCGGAGAGCTTGTAGCGGGTCTGCTGCTTCTCGGGGGACTCCTCCGGGCCGGCGCCGAGGTGGTAGGTGCCGTCGATGGGGACCCAGGCGTTGATGCGCTTGAGGTCGTTGAACAGGCGTGAGCGGTCGACGAAGAGGTCGCGGTTGACCGGGAACTTGCTCATGGGCTCGAGCGTGATGGTGTCGCCGTCGTTGGGGGCGTACTCGTCGATGAGGCACGAGCAGGACTGGCGGACCTTGCCGTTGATGACCATGGTGCACGAGCCGCACACCTCTTCGAGGCAGCCCGAGTCGTAGGTGACGGGCGTGGTCTGCTCGCCGCGGACGGTGACGGGGTTGGCGGCGATCCACTGGAGGCAGGAGATGACGTTGGCGCTGCCCGAGCCCTCGGCGGAGGACTGGACGGGGACGTCGAACTCTTCCCATCGCGAGGGCTTGCCGTGCGCTTCCTGGCGTTTGATGCGGAAGCGGACGGTGCGGCTGCCGGCGGTCGTCTTCTTGGTTGTTCCGTTGGCGTTGCTCATGGGCGTTTCGTCTCTTTAGTTGGCCTGCTGCGCGATTTCGCTCTTGGCTTCTTCGGGGCTGGACGCGTTGCGGTCGACGGCGGGGTCGGTGGCGGTGGTCGCTCCGGTGGCGCCGTAGGTGCGCGGACGCGGCTTGACGAGGCCGATCTCGACGTCCTCCAGAGCGACGGTCGACCGGCCGGTGGACGGGTCGAACGTGGCGACTGATGTTTTGAGGAACTTCTCGTCGTTGCGCTCTGTGTAATCTTCGCGGTAGTGCGAACCCCTGGATTCGGTGCGCTGGAGTCCGCCCCGGAGGATGGGATCGGCGAGGGCGAGCATGTCGCCCACGGCGCGGGCCCAGGAGAGGTTCTGGTTGGTCCACATGCCGGTGTCGGAGAGCGTGATTCGCGAGTAGCGGTCGCGGAGCTCGTCGAGCTTGTCGAGCGCCTGTTCGAGCCGGGGTCCGCTCTTGACGACGGTGGACGCGGCGGTCATCTCTTCGCCGAGTTCCTTGCCGATGGCGTAGGGGTTCTCGCCGCCGGAGGACTCGGTGAGTCGCTTGGAGCGGTCTTCCTCGGCCTTCACGGCGTCGTCGAACATGCTTTGAGTGAGCTTGGAGGCGGGCTCCGCGGAGTGCTCCTGCACGTAGTTCACCACGGACTGGCCGGAGAAGAGGCCGTCGAAGATGCACGAGAGCAGGGCGTTGGCGCCGAGGCGGTTGGCGCCGTGGAACTGGTAGTTCACCTCGCCGAAGGCGTAGAGGCCGTCGACGTTGGTCATCATGTTGTACGGGTCGCCCTTGACCATGCCCTTGAGGTCGTCCTGCGGCGTGTACTTCGTCCAGAGGCCGCCCATGGAGTAGTGGACGCCGGGGAAGATCTTCATGGGGACCTCGACGGGGTCCTCGCCCACGAACTTTCGGTAGATCTCCATGATGCCACCGAGTCGGCGCTCGAGGAACTCGGGAGTGCGGTGGGTAAGGTCGAGGTAGACCATGTTGCCGCCGCCGACACCGAAGCCGTTCATGCAGACGTTGAAGATCTCGCGTGTGGCGATGTCGCGGGGGACGATGTTGCCGTAGGCGGGGTACTTCTCTTCGAGGAAGTACCAGCGCTCCTCGTCGGGGAGCTGGCGCGGGTCCTTGCCGGGCGTGGGGTGGGGCTGCCAGTTGCCGCTCGCGTCCTTCTCCGCGGGGCACCAGACGCGACCGCCCTCGCCGCGGGCGGACTCGGACATGAGCCGGAGCTTGTCCGCGCCGGGGATGGAGGTCGGGTGGACCTGGATGAACTCGCCGTTGGCGTAGTTCACGCCCATCTGGAAGCATCGCGAGGCCGCGGCGCCGGTGCACATCACGGAGTTGGTTGACTTGCCGAAGACGAGGCCGCACCCGCCGGTCGCCATGACGACGGCGTCGGCGCGGAAGGCGCGGGTCTGCATCGTGCGGAGGTCCTGCGCGACGATGCCCCGGCACTTGCCGTCCGCGGTGATGATGGGCCGGAGGAACTCCCAGAACTCGTACTTGGTGACGTCGCCGGAGGCCTCGTAGCGTCGGGTCTGCTCGTCGAGTGCGTACATGAGCTGCTGGCCGGTGGTGGCGCCGGCGAAGTGGGTGCGTTTGTAGAGCGAGCCGCCGAAGAGGCGGAGCTCGCGCTGGCCTTCCGCGGTCCGGTTGAACGGCACGCCCATGCGGTCGAGCAGGTCGATGATTCTGGGCGCCATCTGCGCCATCTCGTAGACGGGGGGCTGGTGCTGGAGGAAGTCTCCGCCGTAGACGGTCTCCTCGAAGTGCTCCCATTCGGAGTAGCCCTGCTGTCGCGCGACCTCGTTGCAGGCGTTGATGCCGCCCTGGGCGCAGACGGAGTGCGACCGCTTGACGGGGACGAGAGAGAAGAGGTCGACGGGGAGGCCCGACTCGGCGATGCGGACGGAGGCGGCGAGGCCGGCGAGGCCGCCGCCGACGACAATGACACGCTGCTCACGTGATGCGGACATGAATCAGTTCCTCTCCGTTTCGTGAGAGTGATCGTCGGCGCTCGCGCTGACGGGCTGGCCGGACTCGACGGAGACCGCGGCGTGGCCGGAGTTGACGTGGGTCTCGGCGTCGCGGGCTTCCTGGACGTCGAGGAGGGCGAAGCCGATGACGGCGGACCAGGCGGCGCCCATGAGCGCGACGCCGAGCCCGGCGCAGACCGCGCCCCATCGTTTCTGGGCTTTTTCGGTGACGGTGACGCCCCAGGTGATCGCGGCGGTCCAGAGGCCGTTGGCGAAGTGGAAGACGAGGAGCGAGACGCCGAGCATGTAGAAGATGGCGACGGCGAAGCCGGTGGCCGTGAAGCCCTCGGCGCTGCCCTGGAGGGCCATGGCCATGGTGGAGGCGGCGGCCTCGGCGCTCCACTCTGCGCCGCCGGGGACGAGGAAGCTCCAGCCCCATCGCAGGGTGGCGACGTGGTAGAAGATGAACAGGATGCCGACGTAGCCGCTGATGCGCTGGAGGGTGTATCGCCAGTTGGATTGATAGTCGTAGCGGGGGAGGTTGCTCTTGCCGGTGGTGGCGTAGTAGAAGCCGAGGATCGAGTGGAAGGCGATGGGGATCCACAGCCCGAAGATCTCGATCAGGATCAGGAACGGGAGGGAGTGGATGAAGTTGACTTCGTGCTGGAACTCGGCGGCGCCGGCGTGGACGTCTCCGTATTTCCCGGAATTGATCATGCCCCAGACGATCGAAGAGTTGGTCGTGAGGTGCGAGATCAGGAAGACACCGACGGGGACGATGCCGGTGAGTGAATGGAGTCTGCGGAGGAGGTAGTAGTGCTTCCCGCCGGGCTGATTGTTTGAGCCGCTCACTGGGCTGCTCCTTCGAAAGGTCTCCGCGTGGCGGAGTGGTGTTCGTGCGACATCGGAAACGGGATTCGGGTGCTTACGGCTGAATGATCGGCGATTCGCCGCCTCCGCCCCCAGTCGGCATCGGACCGGCGGGCGATCCGCCCTGCTCGCGCGTCATCTGCTCGGCGATGGCCTTGGAGAAATCGACGAATCGCATGCGCAGCTCGTGGATGACCCGCTCGAGGTACTGCTTCTCCTCGTCGTCGATGTTCCCCTGCGTCTTCTCTTCGAGGACGGAGAGGAGATCGATGTAGAGCTTGGCGCCCTCGAGGTCGACCATGATCTGGCCGGATTTGGGATCGTTCATGCCGCCGAGGGACATCACCGCGTTGGTGGCGATGGCGCCGATGAGCGTTTTGAAATCGGCCGGGGGGAGCTCCTGGCCGCCCGAGGCGCCAGCGGCCTCGGATTGGGCGTCGAGGTCGGCGAGCTTGTCCTTTTCGGCCTGCGCCTGGTTTTTCCAGTCGCTGTCGATGTGAAGCTTGGGGCCCTGTGCCTCGTCCTGGTTCATCGCGTGCGTCCTTCCGTGGTGAAAAATCGGGTCAGACCCTAGTCTATGGCTTTGAGGAGGCCTCGGCGAGTCGGTTTCATGGCTGAAACCTGGCTTCGTCGATACAGGATGAAGGCCCCGAGACCGTCATCCGGAGGACGACGATGATGCGACGCACGGACACGACACTGCTCACGGTAGCCGCGCTGGTGTGCCTCGCGGGGTGCACGAACAAGCATCAGGCGACGGTCCGCGACGACGCGCAGCCGATCGAGGCGTCCGCGTTCCGAGACGCGTCGCAGCCGATGCCGGAACCGAAGGCGGCGATCGCCCAGCGGATTCCGGAACCGTCGTCGGAAACGGACCGCGCCGACGACGCGGTCGCGCTGGTCGGCGGGCCGGACGAGGTGCTGATCGACACGGATGACGCGACGGCGGACGCTCGCGCCTCGAACCTGCCCGAGCGCCTGATCGTGGACCGCATGGTGGGGCAGATCAACGGCAAGCCGATCTACGCGAGCGAGTTCTTCCGGTCGATGGACGCACGCCTGCGCGCCGAAGCGCAGAAGATGCCGCCGCGGGAATGGCTCGACTTTGTCTCGGGCCAGATCGACGCGGAGCTGGCGGACCGCCTGACGAACGAGCTGCTGCTCGCGGAGTTCCAGTCGGCGCTGACGCTGGAAGAGCGCCAGGGTGTGCTCGGGTTCCTCGCGTACATCCGCGAGAACATCCGCCGGCAGAACCAGGGCTCCGAAGCCCGGGCGGAGGAGCGTCTGCTCCGGACCGAGGGGCTGACGCTGGACGAGAAGATCGAGCAGCAGAAGGAGCAGCAGTTCATCTACGAGCAGGTTCGCCGCGAGATCAAGGCGCGCGTGAACGTGAGCTACCGGGATATCCGGCAGCGGTACGAGCGCGACGCGGAGATGTACACGACGGAGGCGGAGGCCGTGCTGCGGCTCATCCGCGTTCCGGCGGACGACGCGGAGGCCGTCACTTCGGTGACCGAGGCGCTCGCGCGGGGTGAGGCGCCGGCGGACGTCGCCGGCGAGTTCGGGCTCTACAACGCCGCGCAGAACGGCCTGCTCCGGAAGGAGCTCGGCGCGACGGCGTACAGCGAGGCGAGCATCTTCCCGGCGCCGGAGATGAACGGGCCGGCGCAGGCCCTTGCGGTCGGCGAGACCGTCGGCCCGATCGAGTACCGCGGGAGCGTGTACTGGATCCACCTCGAGAGCATGCGGGCGCCGGAGAAGACGTCGCTCTACGACACCCAGCTGCGGATCGAGCAGCAGATCCGCGCCGAGCGTGAAACGGAAGAGCGGCGGAAGTACTTCTTCGAGCTGCTCGAGAACGGCAGCTTCAGCGACTCGCGTTCGATGAAGCGCGAGCTTCTGGAGTTCGCGGCCGAGCGGTACCTGATCGTGCTGCCCCAGATGGACGACATCCTCGACGCGCAGACCGGCCTCGAGGAAGAGAGCTGAGGGGCTGGCTCGGCGCATTCCGTCGGCCGCTGTCGCTGGGGGCGCGGGGCGAGCGCGTGGCGGCGGGGCACCTGCGTTCGCGCGGGTACCGGGTGATCCTGAAGAACGTGCGCACGAAGACTGGAGAGCTGGATCTGGTGGCGCTCGCGCCGGATCGGGAGACGGTCGTGGTCGTCGAGGTGAAGGCGAAGCTCGTGCGCCCGGGCTCGGACGCGCCCCCGCCGGAGGCGTCGGTGACGGCGCACAAGAAGAGGAAGCTGATCGCGCTAACGGAGCAACTCCGCGCGCGGAAGGGATGGACGGATCGTCCGGTGCGGATCGACGTGATCGCGGTGGACTTTGTGGAGGGCGGGAAGCCCGTGGTTCGTCACTTCGAGAACGCGGTTTCGGCGCGCTAGGCGGCGGTGACGCCGGCCTCGATGGACTCGGGGACGATGAGGGAGAACATCGCGCCGCGCCCCTCTTCGGAGACGAGCTGGATCTCGCCCTTGATGAGCGCGGCGAACTCCTTCGCGATGGCGAGTCCGAGGCCGGTCCCGGACGCTTCGCGGGTGTGCGTGCCGTCGAGCTGCGAAAACTTCTCGAAGATGAAGGCCTGCTTGTCCTCGGGGATGCCCGGGCCGTCGTCGAGGACGCTCGCGCGGATCATGCGTCCGTCCGGCGTGCGGACGGTGTCGACGCGGAGGGAGACGTGTCCGCCGTTGGGGGTGAACTTCACGGCGTTGGAGAGGAAGTTGAAGATGATCTGCTGGACCTTCTGCTGGTCGGAGAGGATGACGGGGAGGTCGGATTCCGAGGCGATGCTCGTGACGCCCGAGCCCTCGCGCGCGGGCAATTCGAGGGCCACCTCGATCTGCTTGCGGTCGGCGAGTGGTTTGATGAGCGCGAGCAGGGCCTCGCAGGTGTCGGCGATGTTCACGGGCTGGACGTGGACCTCGACGGAGCCGGCGTCGAGCTTGGCCATGGCGAGGAGCTCGTTGATCATCTCCAGGAGCGTGCGTCCGGCGGTGAGGATGTTCTCGAGGTATCGGCGGCGCTTGGCCATCTGCTCTTCGCGGATCTGCTCGGCGCCGCTCTCTTTCTGGGCGATGTCCTGGAGGATCTCGGCGAAGCCGATGATCGAGTTGAGCGGCGTGCGCAGCTCGTGGGAGACGTTGGCGAGGAACTCGCCTTTCACGCGCGCGGCCTCGTAGAGGTCGACGTTCTTCTCGGCGAGCTCGGTGATCTTGAGGTCGAGGGATTTGTTGACCGCGCGGAGCTGGTGCTGCTGCTGGGTGAGGTCGCGGAGCATGAGGTTGAAGGCCTCGGAGAGCTCCTCGAACTCGTCGCCGGTCTCGATCTCCGAGCGGATGTCGAGCTCGCCCTCGGCGACGCGCTCGGCGGTCTCGCGGAGCTTGCGCACGGGCTGGAGGATGATGCGACGCGTGATGTAGTAGAAGACGCCGATCGCCATCACGCCGGCGATGATGCCCGAGATGAGCAGGAAGAGGCGGTGGGCGAGGAGCTGGCCCGCGGCGACGGAGGAGCGGCGCTCGACGTAGACGACGCCGGCGGACTCGTCGTCGTCGCCGACCGTGACGACGCGCGCGAATCGGTAGACGCGGTCGCCGGAGTCCCAGAGCGCCTCGAAGTGCTCGCGGGGCGCGCGGGCGCCCTCCTCGAGATCGGCCCCGCGGAAGATGTCGCGGGCGCGGGCGAGGAAATCGCGGTCGAACTCGGCCTCGTCCCAGAGATTGGTGGTCCAGTACTCGATGGCGAGATCGGACTGCTCGCCCCGCGCGTCGTCGCCCTGGAGGACCCAGCGGATCTTGGGGTCGATGAGCGGGGTGGTCGGGTAGAGGCGGGCGATCTGACGGGAGGTCTCGAACTGGCTCTCGTCGACGGCGCTCGCGACGAGGAGCCACGGCGGCATCATGGCGGCGGTGATGATGAACACCACGGCGATGCCGAAGAGGATCAGGCACTTGTTGGCGAGTGAGATCCCGCCCATGGCTGCTCCGTGATCAGTCCTGCGTGCGGTCCTTGTCGCTCTTCGTCGCGTTCGGCCCGATGCCGGCGCGGTCTCGCCCGAGCGAACCGGGCGCGGGCTCCTCGCCGGGGCGCGACCAGTCGACACGCTTCGCGTCGCCCCAGAGCATCTCCAGGTCGTAGTACGTGCGCTGCTCGGGGCTGAAGACGTGGGCGATGACGTCCACGCAATCGACGATCACCCAGTTCGAGCCGGTCTCGGTGAGGTTCGAGCGGAAGACGGGCATGTCCATCTGCTCGCCGAGTTCGGCGACGTCGTGGCCGGCGGAGCGCATCTGGCGCTCGGAGGTGCCGGTGGCGACGACGAAGTACTCGGTGATCTGGCTCTTCTGGCGCAGGTCGAGGACGATGACCTGCTCGCACTTGTCGTCGTGGAGCGTGCGCGCTGCTTCGATGGCGAACTTGCGCGCGGTTTCGGATCGCTCGGGGTCGACGGTGGTCGGCATCGAGGCGCGCTCGACGCCCAGGGACTCGTCGGGGTGGTGGGGGGGGTTGGGCTGGTTCGGGTCTTCGGTGGTCATGAACAGTCAAACCTAACGTGTCGCGGGCGGTCTGGCGCTGCCGGTTTCAGGAATCCTCGCCGTCGAGCCAGCGGGACATGTCGAGCTCGTCGGGGTCGATCCTCGTGCCGAAGTGCTCGATGGCCTCGTCGAGGGTGGGGTCTCCGGTCGGGTCGAACCCGCGCCGGCGTCGATCGATCTCCTCGGGCTCGACGCCGAAGGCGCGCATGATCTCGGCCTCGTCGGCCGGGGTGAGGGCGGGGCGCTCGGGCTTCGGGGCCTCGGCGTCCTTGAGGAGCTGGGCGAGGAAGGCGGGGCTGTCGATCCACTTCCCGCGGGCGAGCTCGGCGGCACGCTGGACGCGCCGGTCGCTCGAGACGACCAGGGCGTTCCTCGCGGCGGAGTGGGTGGCGAGGATGGATTCGATCAGAGAATCGGCGTCCTTGCCGGCTCCCGCGTAGAGGGCATCGACGCCCGGGGCGCCCTCGATCCGTCCGCTGGGGCCCCGGTTCCCGTCGCAGACGAGCAGGCAGCGGGCCCCGGCGTAGCGGCTGGAGGCGATCAGGCGGGCGAGTGCGGGGACGTCCAGGGACGCGGCTTGCGGGCCCAGGCCCTCGATGGCGTGGAGGGCGTTGTAGGTATCGACGATGATCACGCGTGGAGCCCTGACGGGAGTCGAACAGACGCCAAAGGTGGCGGGGACGAGTGGGAACGGACGAGAATCGGTGTCCGGGACGGGTCGCGGAGTTGCGGGCCGAGGTTTTTTTCGCAATACTGCTCGGCCCGGAAACGGCGAACGGTACCCGTACACCCATCCTATACACCATCCCTCAGTTCAGGCGAACACACGAATGGCGATCAGAATCAAGTGTCGAAACGGTGAGAGCGTCGAAGGCGCGCTCCGTCGGTTCAAGAAGCTCTGCGAAAAAGAAGGCCTGACGAAGGACATCAAGCGTCGGGCGTTCTACGAGAAGCCGTCCGAGCGCCGCCGCCGCGCCTCGCGCAAGAACGCGCCGCGCAAGGGTTCGGGCAGATAAGACGATCGATTCATGCAGCGGCCGACGCGGAAGCGTTGGCCGCTGTTTTTTCATTCAGGCCCGTCGCACGGATGGGGCCGGGCGTTTCGTCGTTCGGCCCGCGGTCGTCGATCACGACGGCCGTTGGGCCTGGATCAGTTCGTGAGCGTAGTCCCATGTCACCCGCGCATCGTGGGGTCGCCAATCGACCCGTCGCGGATGAGCCCCAGACGTTCCCCAGAGGAGTCCAGCTGTGATGACCCCGGTATCCCTGACCCTGGCCGCCGACCTGCACCCGGCGTACTTCCTCGCCCCCGTCGCGGCGTTCGTCGCCCTGGCGATGGCGTTCGTGTTCTCGTCCTCCGTGATGAAGCGATCGGAAGGCGACGACGAGATGATCCGCATCGCTCAGGCGGTGCGTGACGGCGCGATGGCGTACCTCGTGCGTCAGTACAAGGTCGTCGCGGGCGTGTTCGTGATCCTCGTCGCGGTGCTCGCGGTGATGGCGTTCGTGCTCAAACTGCAGCCGACGCTCTCGCTCATCGGCGTGCCGGTCGCGGGCTTCTTCTCCGGCCTGTGCGGCTGGTTCGGCATGAAGATGGCGACCAACGCCAGCGCCCGCACGACGTTCGCCGCGAAGCAGTCGCTGAACGACGGGCTGACCGTCGCGTTCCGTTCGGGCGCGGTGATGGGCCTGGTCGTCGTCGGCTTCGCGCTGCTCGACGCCTCGGCGTGGTACTTCATCCTCAACACGTTCACGGACTTCGGCCCGGTCGAGCTCACAACCATCCTGCTCAGCTTCGGCATGGGCGCCTCGACGCAGGCGCTGTTCGCCCGCGTGGGCGGCGGCATCTACACGAAGGCCGCGGACGTCGGCGCCGACCTCGTCGGCAAGGTTGAAGCCGGCATCCCCGAGGACGACCCCCGCAACCCCGCGACCATCGCGGACAACGTCGGCGATAACGTCGGCGACGTCGCCGGCATGGGCGCCGACCTCTACGAGTCGTACTACGGNNCGCTCGGCGCCGCGGCGGCGTTCACGCTCGGGCTCGCTCAGGGCGAGGCGACGACGCTCGCGATCGCGCTGACGACGGCGCCGCTGGCGCTGGCGGGCATGGGCATCTTCTGCTCGATCCTCGGCATCTTCACGGTGAAGGCGAAGGAGGGCGCGAGCTTCGCGCAGCTCCTCAAGGGCCTGCACAAGGGCGTGTACATCGCGTCCGCGCTGATCGCGGTCCTCGCGTTCGGCCTCTTCTGGTTCATCTTCGGGCAGGGCGAGGGCCCGGCCCTTCCGATCGAGTGGTGGCGTCTGCCGCTCGCGATCGTCGTCGGCCTGGTGGCCGGCAACGTGATCGCGGTCGCGACGGAGTACTACACCTCGTACGAGCACGCCCCGACGAAGCGGATCGCGGCGCAGGCCATCACGGGCCCGGCGACGGTCATCATCTCGGGTATCGCCGAGGGCATGAAATCGACGTGGGCGTCGCTGCTCACGGTGGTCGTCGCGATCATGGCGGCGTTCATCCTCGCGGGCGGCAACGACAGCTTCCTGATGGGCCTGTACGGCGTCGGCATCGCCGCGGTGGGCATGCTCTCGACGCTCGGCATCACGCTCGCGACGGACGCCTACGGCCCGATCGCGGACAACGCCGGCGGCAACGCCGAGATGACGGGCCAGCCCCCGCACGTCCGCGAGCGGACGGACATGCTCGATTCGCTCGGCAACACGACCGCGGCGACGGGCAAGGGCTTTGCGATCGGTTCCGCGGCGCTCACGGCGCTCGCGCTGTTCGCGGCGTTCATCCAGATCGTGCAGGTGCAGATCACCACGCAGTCCCGGAACTACCTCGAGGCGAACCCGGTGACGGTCTCCGCTCCGAGCGCGGTGTACGAGGGCTACGGCAAGTTCGCGATCGACATGAACGACGAGAACGGGACCACCGACGGCGCGATGCTCATCGAGCTCTCCGGTGGCCACGACGCCAACCCCAAGGCGGACGGCGTCTTCGAGGTCGGCGAGAGCTACCAGCTCGCGACCGGAACGTTCGGCGATCACTACTACAGCGTCGAGGTGACCGTGCAGCACGGCGACCACTACGACTACTACACCGGCCGTCTCGCGTCGTCTTCGAACGGCTCGATCAAGGACGTGCTCAGCTTCTACGACGTGACGCTCACGAACCCTCGCCTCCTCGGCGGCATCTTCCTGGGTGTGCTCCTGACGTTCCTCTTCTGCGCCCTGACGATGAACGCCGTGGGCCGCGCGGCCTACGACATGATGAACGAGGCGCGCCGCCAGTTCGGCAAGATGCGCGACGCGCTGCGTGCCAAGGGCATGTCCGAGGACGACGTGAACAATCCCGACAACTGGCCCATGGAGGGCATCTCCCACGAGGGGACGCATTACCCGGACTACGCGACGTGCGTGTCGATCTCGACGGCCGGCGCGCAGCGTGAGATGGTCGTCCCGGCGTTGCTCGCGATCGTCATCCCGATCGTCGTCGGCCTGTTCCTCTCGGTCCCGGGCGTGATGGGCATGCTCGCGGGCGGCCTGACGTCCGGCTTCGCGGTCGCCATCTTCAT